CACTGTCAAAAGAACTCTCTATAGCCTTCGTTCTCTCTCCTCTCCACTTGGTATGGCTACTAGCTATGGCAGCTCGTCCCTGCCTAGCATTGAAGTTCGACAAAGAACACAACTACTACCATGTCTCTACACTCTACTTCCGCCATAGCCACCCTCTGTCACTGTCAAAAGAACTCTCTATAGCCTTCGTTCTCTCTCCTCTCCACTTGGTATGGCTACTAGCTATGGCAGCTCGTCCCTCCCTAGCATTGAAGTTCGACAAAGAACACAACTACTACCATGCCTCTACACTCTACTTCTGCCATAGCCACCCTCTGAATGCATTCCGCATTCAAGTAGTGGCCCTGCAGGGGGGCCTTCCGGATGCACGACCGACCAAGAAGATAAAGATGAAGACGAAGATCCATCTCATATCTAAAGGTAAGTCCTTGACTGTTTCCACCTCCTTCCTGCTTCTCCACCTCCAACTCACCTCCATAGCCTGGCTGGATGGTCTTCTTCCTCTACCTCCATAGCCTAGGCCTTCTCCTACCTCCCACTGGTCTTCCTCCATCGACATGGAGACCCATGAGCTCCTGCATCCAAGTGCTTTGCCTCACTCCCCCTGTGGGTGCAGAGGCATCATGAGTGTCAGGCGAATGACTAGACTACTCGTTGCACCAAGTGATATACTCTTGCAGCTCAACCTCCCCTTCTTCTTGGCTGAGCATTTTCTACCCCTACCCAACCTTCCTTGGGTGCACCATGCCTATTAAGTGTTCTTGCTTGTGTGGGCTTGAGCCTCAACCCTAAATCACTGCTTTCTTTTCCCCAAGGACCGAACCTCCATTTTTTTTGCTCCTTCCCTCCAAAACAGCAATCCTCGATTTGAGGACGACGTCAACCTGCGAAGGTCAACCTCGCAGATAGACTTTGCACAACACTGCTTCTTTTAGGCCCTAGAATGGACTCTTTACTGTAACCACTTTTTTTTTTTTTTTTTTTTTTTAAATAACCACTAGTATTTACGAGCGTCTTTTTTTCGGACTTCGATTTCCGCTATGCACAGACCAACACGGGCGAGAAATTGAATCCACTCAGCCTGTGCCGCCGACCTTTCATTTGGTAGGCTGAGCCCCAAAACACATACTGCACTGCATTAGCAACCATCTTTGAAAAGCTTCCTTGGGAAATGCATTGGAGTTTGCGCGGTATTTCAACCATCACTGTCCCCGATAATAATAATATTTTAATGATGCGGTACTTTCATTCCAAGCTCGGCCCACAGGGCCGAAATGATGGCAGTGAACCAGTAGCAGCATGGAGGAAAAGATGCATTCTTTCACCACAACCATTAATTTGTTTTGTCGTAAAGACTTTTTTTTTTTTTTTTTTTTTCAACAACCTATGTCACAAAGTGTATTTTTTTTAAAAATAAATATTTAATTCAATTATTCTTATCAGTAGTGTAATCACAAAATTTTGCGAAAGTCGGCACGCTCAACAGTTAGGGACAAGCCGCCCACCACTTGTGGTCAAACATATTAGTAGCCGCGGTGACCATCAGATTTTCAAGATCAGGTGATCTAAAAAAATTCCGCCCTCTAAGACTTCCGACCCCTTTTCAGGCCTCCAGTCAAGGTAGTACTGATTCTATGTTCTTCTAAGGTACTTATTTTACAAACAATCGTTGGGGGTCGTCTGCAAACGCAAAGATGATCTCAAACAAAGAGATTGATTGATTGATTGATTGATTGATTGATTGATGATTGATTGATTGATTGATTGATTGGTTGATTGATTGATTGATTGATTGATTGATTGA